CCCTGGTACTGGGGATTGAACTCAGGACCTTGCCCTTGCCAGGCATGCTTGGTGCCACTCATCCCTGGCCCATCATCAGTAATTTTCTGAGATGTTTTGTTATTTGAACTTTTATTTCATTTCAAATGATTTTTGTGAACTTGAAAATACTACAAAACATTTAAATAAGACTGTATGTTATTTTACAGTTATTTTTCAAAAGCAAAGGAATAGTAAGTGAAGAAGCCTATATCCTGTTTGTAAGAAAGAATGCTATTGTGGTGTTAATTCCAAAGTATGGTTTAGAAGGGACAGTTTTTTTTGAAGAAAAGGACAAACCAAAACCACAGCTTGTTTATGATGATGAGGTACAGTATTTTTTAATGTTTTATTTTTTGGGATGGGACAGTTCACAAATGGTAACTATACAGTGTAAAATTATTTTCTCTGTCCTAAAGAATTGAATCTTGAAAGATGCCAGATTATGTACATGTAACTGTTAACCTCTAAAGTATGGTTTTACTCTCAGAATTTCTAACCTTCTAATATCTTCCCATATACAAATGTTGTCCTCATTTCTTTCTTTTAGGGTTATACTCTACGTGGACAGATAAAGCAGGATAAATTGTTGCTTATAGCTTAGGGAAGCTTTCATAATTTTTGTAATTTCCAGTGTTTCTTATTTGGCACACTCCTAGTTCCATAAACAGTGGGATTACAGTGCTGAAAGAATATTTAATAATCTGTACACAAGTATTTTGTGTTCCTGTACTGCACCAAGAATTTGCTTAGTGGTGTGAGAATCCTGAGCTCAGTGAATGTATATTGGTCTACTTTAAGGAGTGGAGGAAGTGTGCAAATTAATAGGTGATGTTTATGTAGGACTCCTAGGTTTGTGCTTTTTGTTATACTGAATATATGCTTAATAGAAGTGATTTTTACATTTAAACTTTTACTATGAAGGGTAAACTATAAATAGAGCCTTGAGAGTAAGAAGCAATTAAGAATAAAATACAATTTTTATTTTTCAGACACCTTCACTTAAAATAGAAGGGACAGTGTTCCATGTGTTTGATAAAGTTAAAGTGAAAATCATGTTAGACTCATCTAATCTTCAGCATCAGAAAATCCGAATGGCCCTGGTAGAACCACAGGTGAGACCAAACTCTCTAGTTTTCATATGACGGTAGAACAAACTGTGTATTTTTGAAAGAGAAGTTTTTATTTCTGTGCAATGTTAGGATTCAGTACATAGTGTAGAATCCAAATAGTTTGCAAAGCATATTGTTTTCTGACAGATTTCCCTAGGCCATAGGATCCCAGGCATCTGATATTCTTCTGAGGTCCTCAGTATCAAAATGCCTACATCAAAGGCCTTTCAGGTCTTCTCCCAAGTCTTTTTCTCTAGTTTTGTTACCTGTACTTTTGAAGATCAAGTGTTTTATCTACGGTATTGGTTCCTAACTCGTGCCCTACCCCAACACACCTGAGGCCTCTAATGCTCTTACCAGTCAGTGGAGAAACTAGGTAAATTGGACATAAAAAAAAACTTAGTAGTTAACACTGTCCAAACAAGCTTCTCTCCTACTGAGACTATGTCTACCATTTATATTTCTGAATCCCTATTAACTTTCTGTGTAAAATATGTATATTGTGTGCATAACCTTTTATAGCTCCTTTGACCCACTCTACCCTACATTTTTTTTTAAATTGAAGGGGCATTTAGGAAGGGGAAGATGAGGGTGAGATTTATTATTTTATACTTTTAATCTATCACTTTACTTTCCCTGTTTGCATTATTTTAGATACCAGGAATAAGCATTCCTAATGAGATTTCAAATATGGACATTAACGAACCAGAGGAAAAGAAGAGGAAGCTTGAAAAGTAGCTACTTTCAACAGCAGACTTTAGAGACTTATTTCCTTTATAAAAACAACTTGAGAATCCTTCTGAGCCTCTGATAGTTTGTTACTTTTAAATACATTTTAATAATGTCAGAAATTTGCATTTTTATTGAAGTGTTGACTGTCTGTCTTATACTACTTTATTTTTGGGTTGAGCAGGACTATTTATGCATAAAAATTCAATTGAATATCCATCACTTTAATAGTGACAAGACAGCACCTTCAGGGATCTGTAAAGATCATTTAAACAGAGCACTCATCTGCTCATTAAAGAGCAGATTAATTTTGCGTACTTTATTTAATATATTTTTTTTAATTAAAAAAAAAAAAACCAAAAAGCCCTATTTCCCTAGGGAAATAGGGCATTTTTGGAGGCAAAAAACAATCCTTCCTAAATTTTGAAAGCTGTCAAGTGTTTGGTACATAATCTCCTCTGCCATTTTAATTTTCCAAACTTAGTGTAAGTATTTCCCTACTATGATAAAAAGTCTCTTGTGGTCCTTGAAAGGCTGTTAATGTTTGGGAATTGGTAGGAAGACAAAGGATACTTTGACCTGACTGAGAAAATAGTTTTTAACAGGTAGTAAGTGTGATCATCATCCTTGAACTTCAGCTCCAAAGTCTCCCCAAAAGAAGGCATTAAAACTTAGAACAGATGGTATGTACTTGAAATGTCTCGTTACTTATAAAAAACAGACAATGGCTTTTAAATTGAAGTTATATCAGATTGTATAGGAGAGAACTGTATTAAGGACATGTTAAAAGGAACCTATTAAAATTAAGTATTATTTGGTGTGCCAGATTGACTACTTCCTCTGCTAACTACAGATTCTAGCAAATTGGTATCTTCAAAAATACTTTGAGAAGGACTGGGGATTTAGCTCACTGTTTCCACTGTCTGCTTTGCAAGCACAACGACCCGAGCTCAATCCCCAGTACCAAAACAAAACTTTGAGAAGGGGCCAGGGATTTAGCGCCTACCTCAAAAGTGCAGGGTCCTGAGTTTGATCCCCAGTACTGGGGGTGGGAGGAGAATACTTTGAGAGTTACCTTCACACCCTTTACTTAGTCAATTTCTTTTTTCCAGTACCAGGGATCGAACTCACTTGCACTTGTGAGGCAGGTATGGTGCCACTGAGCTAAATCCCTGGCCCTATTTAGTCGATTTCTTAAAGCATTCATGGTGCAAAAGTTTTATCACCAATCAGGTAAACTACTGCCTTCAAGGAATTTGCAGTATAATGAAAAGACTGGCAAATAAGTCAGTAGGCATATTAAGTATATATAATAGTATAACTACAGTATTAACAAGTCATATGGGCACTCAGTAGTTGAGGCAGACTTGTTCTGCTGAAGGAAGATAACCTCTAGTAGACTTTGGTCCATGTAAAATGAATAGGTCAGTGACTGACACAGCAGGGAATGTAAAGAGCCCAAACTTTAAAGACTTGGCTGTAATTACAGCTATGACATTCAACTGCTACTGTTAGCTCTAGGCAGTATTTGAACAAATGAGCATGGCTGGGTTCCATTAAACCTTTACTAACAGTTAAGTTTCATACAGTGTTCTAGTATCCCTAAGTATTGTTTCCTCCACCACCCACTTAAAAATTGTTTAGCTAGGCTGTAGTTTACATGCAGTAGACAAATTTTTGCCAAAGTAAGGCCTTTACTACCTTTATGTCTTTATCTTTCCCCACTTTGCGAGGCATCAGTTAGGGGAATGGTAATGAGACCTAAGGCTCAATTCAGTAAAGATGAGAAAGGACGGACCTGTTATTTCTTCCTAAGACCTCTGATTTTGGTAATCTAAAGTGTTTCCTTTCTAGTGTCAGTTCTTACACCAAGCAGTTTATATGGACAGACAGTGGGCCCTGAATCTGGGTTCCGAATCTACATGTTGGAAATTTTAAGGAAAGAAAATTGTGTCTGTACTAAACATGTATAGGCACTTTCTCAAACAATACAGCATAACAACTCTTCACAGCGTGATACTATTATAAGGAATGAGGAATTTATTTTAAATGTACAGTGGGATGTGCACGGGTTATGTGCAAAGACTGCCCTTTTATAGGGACCTGGGCATCTAGACAACTATCCAGAGGGCCCCTGGCACCAGTTCCCCATGGGTCCTAAGGCATGACTGCATTTTACTCAAAACTCAAAAGCCTTGTTAGGCAGGACTGTCATCCCCTTCTAACAGATGAAAAAACTGGTTTATGGCCTAGGTCAAGTAGTGACAGGAAAGATCTGATTCTAGATTATAATCATGACTTATTTCTTGACCTGTGATATTAAAAAATCAGTACCCAGGGTGGCTCCTACTGTTAAGGGTCCAGTTATGTTTTTTAGGTAAATTTTTATTGAGTCTAAAGCCTGTGTGATTATAAGGAAGATTCTGTTGTCATTCGAAGGTTAGCAGTAAGTTTAAAAGGTATGAAATACTCCACAAAATAAGGAAGAACATGACAGTGATAATTTATCTTTGTTTTATGTACAATGGTCTTTGAATGAACAAGTTTTTTAAAAAGTAGTAAATACAAATACACATTCTCCAGTTATTTCCAAACATATACCCATCTACTGCCATTGTGAAAATTTTAAAAACTAGCTATTTTTAAAGTATATGTAACCCCAGCATTTCATAGTTGTGAGCCCAGCAAGAATTTCACTGTTCCCTAGTTCCAGAGTTTGTCTAATACTCTTTTTTTCTTTCCCTAGCCAGGTCTGAACTGGAAAGATTGTGCCTACAGTGGGAATGGTGGTATAATTTATTCTGGCCTCCCACATTTACTCACAGATAGCAAGACACATGATGCTGCTGTTAGATTTTTAAAAGTATTAACTTGAGCAGTTACTACAGGAACCCAGAGAAATGAATAGTTCAAAAATTGTGGGGATACCTACTTAATGCTTTTCTACCTCTTTGATCAGTTTTATATCTGTAAGCGTTCTATTATCTATTTTATCTATTTTAGATGAAGTTCATGTATGTATGTTCACAGGTTATATATATAAAAATATATGGTGCCTTCCTTTTTTAACATTTTCTTATGTTCTCAGAACAAGTACTAAATTCTGTGCAGAGCAGTTTACTGACCCCATAAGGATAGGAGCAAATCATCAGCTGTCACATTTTTTATTGTGAAACTCATTACTCAAGATACATACAAAAATATTTATTGATTAAAAAGTAGAGTTGTATTGTAGCAACTTCATGTTGGAGGAGCTTTGCTGTTGTTTCTATGTCACCAAGCCTTTGATTTTTCACATTAAGGGAAAGAAAGAAGCTAAGGATGTTACTTGAAGCAGTTTTTTCCAGTCACCATCACATTATTGATCCTTTGCAAAAACATATGCGAGGAGCTTCACCAATAGTCTGCTTCTGACAGAGGTATTCTGTGGACCGCTGCAATGAGATGGACTTGGGCTGTTCACCCCACACCTGTGTTCTGTGGTCTTACTATAGGAAAGAAAATGCCGTGATTTCAAACAGGACATAACAAGGGGAAAGGGATGAAAAAAGAATTAAAATTAAAATATGCATATGTACCAACTCAGGAAAAATAAGGAGGTCTTTCAACTTGATTTCAAGATTTATGTTTCATTGCACGTAAGCTGATGTTCACTGTGCCTAATAAACTGGAATATAAAATCAGAGGTTGTCCAGTGCCTACAGTTACAATAACTATCAGATTTAGTAATTTCCAAATCAAAAACATCACCTTTATACAAGCACTTTGTCATATCTAAAATGCCTACATGCAGCCAAAATCTTTAAAGGCTATTTACTGGATTTTAAGAAAACAACTCTTAGGTCTTTTATATCTGATTTCAATTGTACTATTACCTCTCTAATAATCCAATTCTTCTGTTTATTTCCTTTTAAATTTCAAGGATCTTACTTCACTTGCTCTTCCAAATAAAGAGAAGTGTGGGTTTAAAAGCTACCACCTGCCACTGTTATGTGAACAGGACACGTGGGGCATAAACATAATAATTTTGTTTGTTTGTCTGTTTGTGACAGGGTCTCACTATGTAGTTGAGACTGACCTGGAACTCACTATGTAGTCCAGGCTGGTCTCAAACTCACAGCGATCCTCCTGCCTCAGCCTCCAGAGTGCTGGGATTACAGGCATGAGCCACCACGCCAGGCCTATAAACATGATAACAAAACTTTTAACAGAATGGGGGAAAAACAGGCTGAAAAAAGTCACAGTGAACGCTGTTGGCTTATAACCACATTAAGCTTTGTATTTCCTCCATACCTTTGTATTACAAACTTGAAATTTAGTCTCAACTTCAAAGGTTTGTGCATCACTTTCTTTGCAATAACTTTCTGCTCCAACAGTATCCATAATATTGCTTCCACCAGTCTGTGTATTATAGCCACTATCCATCTGACAGGAGTGAAGAAGATAAAAACCACAACAGATAAATTGCAAACTAATTCACATAACACGTAAAACTTTTTGGAAGGAACTTAAAAGGTAACTGTTTGAGTCACTGTATGTTACCTTTCACTACATCTGAACAATGCAACATAATAATGTTCATATTGAATTAAAATACATGAAGTTCTGACAGAATTTACTATTTCTTATGTATTGGTTTACAGTTCCTTCCAATAAAATGTCTTCTAAAGTCCTTTACAATCAGTGAACAAGCCAGGCAGAGCATACTTTTTTTGTTATTTTGTGATCGTATCCGTAAATAATGGGAGGAATACAATCAGCCTCACTTTCCAACTCATTTTCTAAATAGCTTGGTTTTCACTCTAAATAAAATCTACATAAAAGGCATGCCACTTGTAATTACACAGACATTAAAAAGATGAGTTACACTGACTCATACCTGGATCACAATGTCATACGTGTAATGGTTTTAGACATTCAAGTTTTCATGGTAATAAAAACTGTTGTACTCTTAAGACAAATTGTTCTGGCCAAAAACAGCAAAAGAAAAAAGATTCTACAGAGTATCCCCTCTGACCCATAGGGATATGTTCCAGGACCCCCAGTGAATGCTTGAAACTGGTTAGTAAAAATCATGTTTTTACCTATATATACAGACCTATAATAAAGATTTAACTTATACATGAGGTACATGAGGCACAGTAAGATGGACTATAATAATGTAGAACAATAAGGTTATGTGAATGTGGTTTCAAACTATGTTACTGCAAAAAAGAAATCTTCCTGTTCTTTCACCTTTGCACTTCAAGGAAGTACTGGGTAGATTCTCTTGGGCATACCGGTGTTGCCAGTATGGCCACTCCTCCCGGCTGGGGGCATTAGTAGGTAAAGTGAAGATCACTAGGACAGATAAGCGCTACAATATTGTGACCATATGGTAATTGAGATGCTGCTAAGTGAGTGGTCAGTACATGTAATGTGCAGATGGATGGCTGGTATCCTGGGCAGGATGGTGAGGGTCACCAGAGGATTTCATCATGCTACTCAGAATGTATGCAACTTAAAACATGAATTCTTATGCCAGGTCCTGAATGGTGCTCTACATAATGCTACTTTTACTGTCTCCTTTCAACATCCCTATGATACAGATGAGGAAGCCAAGGCTCAGAAAGGCTAACTTTCACACTGCCATACAGTATGTAATGTGATGGTGAAGACCTGAGGCTCAAGAGCCCAGACTCTATCCACTACATGGTACTTCATTTACTTACATAATGCTGAGCGTGAAACAACACACACTGCCCCTACACGGCAATCACCCAGCACTTGACCCTTCCAAATGAGAAGCAAAGGAAAGAATATTTTCTCTCCCCTTGTGAATATTTTGAACATCCTAGAGATTGCATTCTATCATCACTTGTAAGACAAAAAAGGTTCCTAGTTTTCAGGATGGATGTATATTTGCTCACAGCTGGGAGTCATGTTCCACCAGAACAAAAGCCTGTGACGTGTACAATATAAACATTTCAAGAGAAGCACTGTTTTGCTATCATTTGGTAGATAATTGATCACATATGTAACATCAAGCTGCTTGCAGATAATCTGCAAATTACTCTTCCTTCTAATATTCATCAATTACCAAATAACAGGCTCAGAACTCAACACTAGTACATAACTGAATATATCATGGGAAAAATGAATAGTATAGGTATGAGTAAGGTGCACAGTGAGTCTGTCACACTGGAGAGGGAGCAGGATCCCCTCCTGGGAGCCCTGCGTGGTGGCTGACCTCATGGTCTCATCGGAACCACTACCGATGTCAGTGCCTCCTAGGTACCATGCAGATGCTACAGGCATCAAGGTGGGCATCACAACTGTTGAGAAGAATAAAGTACTAAAAAAGATCAAACAGTCATGTTCTGCTCACTGTAAACTGGACCCTACCTTATGATACCACAGCCTGGAAAGAAGAAAACTAATCCTAATTAGAAAAAAGTTCATTTTCTTAACAGCCATTTCTAAATGTATCCATCTGTTGTATCATCTTACATCTGCTTTGCTAGTAAATTACTTCCAATGGTTCACAAGTGTAAAAAGTTGTGCCTTTTGCTGGGCATTCCTTGAAATCGGGCTTTTGCTCTTTAGCCCTTACATTATCGTTCTCAGTCCCCTTTGCATGTCACCATTCAGAGGATCTTGTCTCCTCCCACCACTCCCTATCTCCCTTATATTAAATATATTTATTGCTTCTCCCATCTAAACTAAAAATAAGGTGAAAAAACAAAAAGATCCTAGACTTTAGTGTTTTCCTTTAGCTACCATTTCTTTCCCTTCACACCTAAGCTACTTCAAAAAGTTACCTATGCACATGATTTCATTCTCCTTTAATTTTCCCTTCATTCATTTTTCAGAGGCTGTTCAAATACCAATGTGAACTTCTGTTATTATTCCAACAGCTTACCAAGGCCTACATTCCTTGCTCATATTTTGACAGTACTAACCATTCTTTCTTGCTTACAATATCCCAAAAACACTATGCTTTCCTACTGTTCTTTCTCTTCTGCTTTTTCCCTATTCCCTTTATCCATTCCTTCAACTTTCCCTCAGGGCTCCCAATCTTAGCACACTATTTTCATTTCGCTCTCTGGTTGATTTTAATCTATGTATGCATTTTATTTTCATCATACAAATATTTAATGAGTAGTTACTATATGCCAGGGTTTTTGTGTAAAAATATACATGATTACTTGATTAATGGTCTGACTGAAAGTGCAAAATTATACATAGATTTACAAAAACATATGAGGAGGTCTGGCTTGGCCAAGTATGGTCAAGGAAGGTTTCTGAAGAATATGACAAACAAGTTGTGAACTAAAAAGAGCTAGGTAAAGTGGGATGGAAAGAAATTCTTCACAGTATGTACAAAACCTTTAACAGAATGGATCATGGGTTATTTAAACTTCTGAAAAGCCAGGAGGAGGACTGAAACAAAAAACGTGAAACAAGATGAAGGTGAAGAGTGAGTAAGGCAGCTGCCAGATCACACAGTGCCTTGGTAGCCACATCATCCGTACTAGAAGAAAGATGATTCTAGAAATTAAAGATAAGTTGCAGAAATTAGAACCAAGAAGAGACTTTCAAAAGTTGTTTTTAAATTGGAGAATGAAGAGGAGTTCTAAAGAAAACAATGAAAATGACTGAAATTCAAGAAAAGATCCAAGAGGTAAAAGGTATAAGTTTACAGACCATAAATATGGGTATTCAGAGAGCTTAGCAGAATGGTTGAAAAGAAAACCACACCAAAGAACATCACTGAAATTTCAGGACTCTGCATAAAAAGAAATGGTTCTAAACCATCAAGAAGGAAGGAAAAAAAAAGCTGAAGATTAAGAAGATTAAGCATTGAAATAGTTTCAGACTTCTCATCAGCAAACTGAAATAGTCAATGGGACAATGTGTTCAAATGCTAAAGGACAATTATTTCTAAACCTGAATGTGAGGGAAGAAGGAACTTCTTCAGACATGCCATGTCTTTAAAAATGTACTCTTTCTTAGAAAGCTACCAGAAAATGTATTCCAGTAAAATGAGACATAAACCAAGAAAAAGAAGAACGGGATAGAGAAAGCAGGAGACCACAGAGCACAGGAGAGGGTAAGGGAGTTCCTACTATGATGATGACTGGATAGTCCAGAAAGCAACCAATCTAGGGAAGTAAATCAAAGGCTCTGAGGAAACATGGCTGTATACCAACATTTGAAAGATACTTCTGCGGCAGAAAAATAACATGAAATGTTAATAACATGAAATAACAGAAAATTGTATAGGAACTATAAAATCTCTGCAAAAGGTAATCAAGATGTGGCTGAAAGATTAAAATTAAGAATTGGCTGAAGGCTGGGGATTTGTCTCAGTGGTTCCGCTGCCTGCCTAACTTCGATCCCCAGTACCAAAATAATAATAATAATAATAATAATAATAATAATAATAATAATTGGCTGAAATCACAGATGCAACCACATTTCAGCTCAATGTAAGGAAAAGGTCTTTAAACAGTAAGAAAAGTTTGAAAATAAGATGGAATATTCCTGCAGGTACTCAAGCATAGCTCAGATGACAATTCAGTATTGAGTTTGGAGAATGTGTAAGTTTCCAAAGGGTATTTGAATTAGATGATTATCACAACATATTTTAAAAAAAGTATTTTATAACTCCTCTATAAATGCTCTGCCAACAAAAAGAATGAAAAATAAAAAAAAGAGTAACATACCTTAAGGCTAAGTTTGACTGTATATGTTTTTTCTAGTATGACACCAACTCTAGCAGGTAATAATATGTAAAGTGATCCTAATGTTATCTTTTTTGAGCAAGGAACCTAGAGGTCAGGATGGGCAATATAAATATACAAGTATGAGCAGTTTTATTTATTTATTTTTCAGACAGGTTCTCACTATGTAGTTCAAGCTGGCCTTGATAACAGTACTCCCCTTCCTAGGCTTAGTGATGATGAACAACTGCACCAGCACACACGTAAAAGCCAGAAGAGCGCTGGCTTACAGTGAGTGCCACATACGGGTTAGAAGTTACTACGGCACCTAATGGTCTCCTTGAGACCATTCTAAGGCCCTTTCCATATCCTCTGCCCACAGAACAATGACTGCAATAATATCTTTCGATGTAAATGCTGCTATGACATATACATGTGAAAGAAATCAAGATTTTTCTGTTGCCAGACTTTGGGAAATTGGAAATGTATAATTACATGAAAACTACTGGCTTAAAGTTACATTTTTAAAAAGTACAAAGACATACACATAAAGTGCTCTAAACTCTGATTTCTATTGCTGCAAACTACACAAAGGTAAAGCAAAAAAGGTTGTACTTTTCAAATATTATATCAGAGACTACATTCCTGTGGCACAAGATTCAAAGACAGAGAAATTGTGAGCGGCTGCTTGACTCTAGCAGTCTATAAAAATGAAGATGCTTCATTTCTTTTCTGTTCACATCTTTTTCTACTCCAAATAAACATGTCAGTAAGTACATTAAATATGTATAGTTAGCCAATTAAAAGAAACTATCCTTCCTGGTATTACTTGATATTGGGATATATATATATATATTTGTTTGTTTGTTTTGAGACAGTCTTGCTATGTAATTCAAGCTGGCCTTGAACTCACTATGTGGTCCAGGATGGACTCAAACTCACAGTGATTCTCCTGCCTCAGCCTCCAGAGTGCTGGGATTACAGGTGTGTGTCACCATGACTGGTTTTGACATTTAACCCATTACCCATCTCATACTATAATCTTAAGAGAAAAAGGGGAATGCCAAGAAAGTAGGCCAACAGAAACTTACAACATCTTAGCCAGGCGTGGTGGTGCACGCCTGTAATCCTAGCACTTGGGAGGCTGAGGCAGGAGGATTGCCGTGAGTTCGAGACCAGCCTGGGCTTTATAGTGAGTTCCAGGTCAATCTCAACTCAACTATGTAGTGAGACCCTATTTCAAAAAAACAAAAAACAAAAAAATCTTAAAACATCTTACCTGCATGTTACTGCTTTCACAAGGAAGAACACTGCTTTCAGCAAGGGGTGACATGCACATTTCAGAGTTTTCAATGCTAAAGGCAATTCCGCTCACAAAGTCAGGCACAGGCAAACTCCCATCATCAGCTGGCTCCTTAATCCAAGTGTGCTCATCTGCTGTCTCTACAGGATCAACCATGTCCACAGTATCATTGTTCTCGCTCTCAACGTCCTGCAGGGCAAGTTCTCTCCCAGAAGCGCCAGGCTGACGCTGTGTGACAGACATGGCAGTCACCACTATGCGTGCACCATGTGCGGCGTCACTCATCAACTGCCGCAGGGGTCGTCCTACAGCATCCCCGACTGGGGACGAGATGCCTGGAGAAGGAGCATTCTCCTTATCTTCCTCATCTTCACTGTGCGTCTCAAGAGCAAAAGGAATCCGGATCAGCGAGGCCCGATATGGAGTCCCACCTCTGCACATCTCCAGTCTCATAGGAGACCAATTTTTAATTGGTGAGCAGCCATCTATATAAGGACTTCTGATACATGGGTTAGTAATTCCATTAGAATGTATTCTAGAGGAGGCATCAGGAGAAGGAAAGGTAAACTTCCTTTGTTCTAAAAGATCAGAGAGAAAAATCACATTATAAAACTATGAAAAACGGAAAAACCATAGCTAAATGATAATTATGTTCCACACCAGAAAAACTAGATTTCTGTGAAAACTTTGTTTACTAAAGTTAACTTTTAATGTGAAAAACAACAGCACAAGCGATGCATGCTGATGCATGCCTATAATCCCAGCACTTGGGAAGCTGAGGCAGGAGGATTGCTGTGACTTCAAGGCCGGCCTGGGCTGCACAGTGAGTTCAAGGCTAGTCTGAACTACACAGCCAGACCCATCTCAAAAAATAACAACAAAACATACAAAAAAAGCTTAAGTGAATGTGTCTGAATAAGACAGACGAGGCTCAAAATAGTTTCTGTAGCTCCTTCCCTATTTTAACTAAAATATTTTACTCCCTGAAAATTATTTCTTTATAAGCATGCTGCTATGATACCAAAATTATTCAAGTACAAAGAAAATCAGCTTAAAGCTACAATTTACAGATGTACCTGGTAAATTAAATATATTAAAAAAATCTGTTTCTATGTAAAATATTGTATGCTACAGTAAAAGACAAGCAAAAACCTAGAAAATAATACTTGCGATAATAAAGAGCCTAATGATAATAAAAATGATGGAAATGCTTTAAAGCTTAATGATGACTTAAAACTTCATTAGTTTAACAAAAACACAAGTTTTTAAAAAATGAGCAAAAGCACATCAACAATCTTCCCAAATGTAAATAAACATATGAAAAGTATTCAGCCACAAAAACTAATAAAAAGTATAGAAGTTAAAGCAATGAGAAACCATTTAAACTAACATTGAAAGCCTGAACTAACAATCCCCAAAACACAACTGGCCAATGATTCTATTTTTGGAAATTGAACTGAAAGCTATAAATGTATGC